TGTTTTTTTTTTTTTTTTTTTTTTTTTTTTTTTTAATGAACAGAGGCTAGGCAGGATGATGACAAGTACAAGGCCAACCTGGGCTACTTAGTAAGACTTTGTCTCAAAATAAAAAAAGCTGGGAATATAGCTTGGTGGTAGAGTACTTGTCTAGCATGTGCAATGCTCTGAGTTTCATAACCAGCACCATAAAGTAAAATAATAAAATAAAATAAATGAGTAACGCAACAGTTCCCAGTTAAATTTGGCAAGTATTAAAAGAGAAGATACTAGTGGGACCTTGTGCAATTGTATTCTTATCTGTATGTCTGGTTTAGACTCCCACAGCGTGAAAGTGAGAGTTTCAATGTTCATTCTTGTTGTGCATTGTTGTGAGACAGAAAACACACTGTGTGTCACATTGTGTGACGATGTGGCAATCCTAAAGATGGTGATCATCTCATGAACTAAATATAAATACGTGACACTATTTTTTCCTGGGTGGTTTGTGTGGAAAAGAGTGGGGATGAGTGGCCTAGGAAATGGTAGCCCTTACGGAAGGTTAGGGGCACCAAACTAGATACAGTGCAGAACAAATAAAACGTGAGGGTTTTTTTTTTTCTCACATGCTTACCTTTGGAAAAAATTCAAATTTACTCAAAACTGCATTTTAAGAAAAATTGTCACTCTCCATCCAGGTTCCCTAATTATCACATCATTAATTGTTAAATGATTAATTATTTTAAAACTGCTACCTTTACTTTCTATATACATGTATATAGCCTTATTAATATTTATCCTTTATTATTATTGCATTATTACGGAGCATTCTGAATACCCTAGTGTGTATCTCCTAAGAGCAAGACATTTTCATAAATGACCACAAAATAATCTCATATTCAAGAAATTTAACAGATATAAACATTATTATCTAATATAAGGAGTCAGTATACAAAGTTTTCACGCTGTCTCAATAATGCCCATTAATGACCATTATTTTTTTACCTAACGTTTAATTCAGAACCACATGCTGTATTTGAATATCATGCCTCCTACTTCTTAATCTGAAAGAAATCTTCAGTCTTTCCTTGCCCTTTTTTGTTATTTTCCTTAGAGTTTATATATTCTGAATACAAATCCTTTATCAGATGTGACTTGCATAATTATTCTCCCTGAGAATAATTGTGTTTTGTCTTATAATTCTTACAACTTGTCTTTCTTATTTTATTGCTGGTATATGTTTGTTGCATAGAAATTACATCCATCGAGGAGCACTGGTGCATACACATATCCCATCCTGATCACTCGTATGTTTCCTTCCCCTCTCCCGCTCTTCTCCCCAGATCCTCTTTCCATCTCACAAAGTCTGCTTCCCTGTTTGTTACCATCTCTCTTTTTCCTCTTAAAATTATTTATATCCTGGTTTCTCATAGAATAAAGACCGTGTGACATTTTCTTGCCCCGTGTGACTGGCATTGTGAACTAGAGGCCAGCTGTTATTTGAAACATCCCCAGTTTGAGTTCATCTAGAAGTCCTCCGAGTAGATTCAGGGGATAGGCTCTGACTGCCTTGTCTTGTGTCTTTCTTGGCACAAAACATCGGGGAGTCCACAATACTTTGATCACTTGCTGGCCTTTCACAGAGCACTGCGAAGTCATCAGTTTTCCCTTTGTACTTAATACGCAATCCTTGGGAGGTATTTTAAGATTATACGACTATCCTCCTCAAATATTTCCCCAATGTTTTCACCCATGCATCTGTATGAGTTCCTGGGGCTGCTGTAACAAAGTATCACAAACTGGATGACAGAAAGCTACAGGAAGGTGTTGTCTCACAGTGCTGGGGTGAGAGGTCTGAAGTCAAGGTGTTGGCAGTAGGTTTCTGAGGACTGTGAGGAAAGGGTCCATTTCAGGCCTCTGTCCTTGGCTTGTAAATGGCTGTCTCTTCCTGTGGTTCTCCATGTTGTGTGCTCCCCGTGCCCCACATGTCTCTGTGTCCAAATATCCCCTCTTTATGAAGATGTTAGTCATGTCAAATTAGGGCCAATCCTAATGACTTCACTTTCACTCTTCACCTTGGTAAAAACTCAATCTCAAAATAAGGTCACATACTGAGATACATTGGGTCAGAAGTTCAAAAAATATGAATATGTAAGGTCACAACAGATGTATTGTGTCCATCCATGGCTTCCCCAGTGTTTGCACAGACAGAACAGGGAATCAAGACTCTGGATACATCAAGAAACACATTCATCATGAAGCCCAAAGGGTAGTGAGTCCCTGTCCCCACCCTTGTCAAAGCTAACAAGTCAGGGCTAAGCCTGAGAGCACCCAAAAGCCTGTACCAAGCTGCTCCTGCCAGCCATGCTCAGGCTGTGTGTTGCACCCCCACTGGTATTTCAAAGGACTTTCTCTCTTTGGGTGCTAGAGATTTTGCATTGCGTGTGGCTTCCTGCTCACTATCCAAGTGTGTGTGGTATGCACCCATCAGTTGCACTAGAGTGGAAGTTGTCAGCAGCTGAATTAGTGACAAGATTTCTTTCTTGCAGAAACAAGTAGGCCACTGGGGAAGGTGTTTCATCTCTCGGTGCATTGTTTTGGAGCATTCAGGTGCTACCCAGACAAATGAGTTCTAAGGCATATACTTAAGTGTTTGCAGTAGGGACTCTCAGCAGAAGAGGGATCAGAAGCCAGGTGAGATGCTTCCTAAGTTTTCAATTCAAAAGATAGAAGGGCAGAAAAAAGGAAAACAAAGAACCAATTACCTAAGCACTCCCTGCCAGAGGCTAGCAGAAGACTGGGGTTGGGCATGGCTCCTATTGGCAATGAACCCCTGTTCATCCCATCTCTTAAACACAACAGTTGTGTCACTCACATCTCAAGTTCTGTAACTTTCACCTTCGTTACATCCTTGTCTAGAAATGAGCAGAACCTGCAGAGGATATCGACTCACTTTCCTTGGTTTCTCGATCAGGTCACAGACATAAAAGAGAAATTGAAGCTCTCTAAAAAGGTCTGGTCGGCACTGCCCTATACCATCTGCAAGGACGACAGTGTGACAGCGGGCACGTCCAACGAGGAGGAGTGCTGGAACGGGCACAGCAAAGCCAGGTGAGGCACGGGTGCTGGGCAGGGGCAGAGCGCGCAGGCCTGGAGGACTCTCTTGGCAGAACTCCGCAGACTTGTTTATGCAAAACGCAATGGAGGGTGGAGGGACACGGCGTCACTCAGCGACAGCTGTTGAGAGTGGCAGCTTTGACGGGCACCTGGGAGCACTTACTCTCTAGGTGCCATTAAGCACGGAATCCTTGCTCCAAATGCCTGGCCTCTGGACGAGGCTGGAAGGACAGTGACAGATGCCAGATTACACAGAGCCTGTGATCCCAAAGAGCCATTTTACATTCACTTAATGACTTTAAGATAGCAGAGCTATTTTTATCCATAGTTAAATTTGCAGAGCTCCTGTTTTTTTCACAAGTGGAACAGCAAATGAAATTTCAACCGTAATATTTTCATCCTTGGAGGAAAAAAATTGAAGTGAGTGTTCATTGAAAAGGTAAAAGAAAAGACCCAAAAGACAAACAGAGAAGAGATCTATCAGGCCCACACCTTGGAAAGTTCTATCGGAACCTCCTCTAAAGAAGCGGCTCTGTGTCGACCAATGCTGTGGCCAATGGATAAGGAATTTCCGAATTTGTCCGTTCTGCTCAGAAGCGGACTTGGCCCAGTGTTCATGGGGTGGAGAAGTTGGATGGGAGCACAGGCTGGGAGATGGCAGGCAGGGCAGGACATGAAGACAGGAATCTGCCACAGCCCTCAGCAGCCAGGCAGCAGGTGAGAAGACGGTAAGTTGAACTCAAGGAGTCTTCAGGGATTGACCGAAAGGTGAAGAAGCTAAGAGAAGAACCTAGTTAGAGGTCTTATTGGGCAGTTTCAAACATATGAAGCAACTTCAATTAAAGGGAACAAGAAGGTAACCTGAATATAAAGTTCAGAATAAATCCACAAGAGGTAAGCAGAGAACTCAAGTGAAGTTCATATTAGGTGTTATTTCTCACACTGCTGTGTTGTATTATTTTTTCATCTATTGCTAATGATATCATTAACCATATCAGAAAGACCTTAGCAAGGTGTAATCAAGACACCTTCAGAAAGAGCTTTAACTACTTCAAGCTGCCTAAAGGATTAATATCCAAATTTTAGATCTTGAGAGGACAAAAGGAAGTTCATAGTATTAACAACATGACATGCAAAAATACTAAATATTTTCCTGTAATTCCAGCAGTGCTGGAAGGTGAAGCAGGAGGACCACAAATTCAGGCCCACCCTGGGCAACTCAGTGACTTAGTGAAATGCTGTCTCAAAATAAAAAATAAAAGCGATATAGTTCCATCCAAAGGCCCTGCTAATTAATTAATTAAAATGCAAAAATTAAATTAAATGCAAAACTTGACAATGTCTGGCCTTTGAGGAAGGAGACCAGCACATTCAGCTGTTAATTCACAGCTTTGACTGTGTCCTTCCCAATGACTACAGAATGACACTGAGAAGGATGAGCAGGTGGCCTCATGAATAAGCATTTGGTTCTTCGAGCTGCTCTGTTGCTCATCTGTGTTTACCTTCTAGCTCAGGCTAGAATGAAAGCTGTGTTTTGAATGGCATTCCCGCAGACGGCCATGCAGGTTGCTGGGTATTAGCACATAAGCAATTTCTTACAAAAGGTTGTAAAGAATGGTCATAATTGTGGGTAGGGAAATGACTAAGACTCCATTAAGAAAATGAATGGGAACATAAAGACCACTGAAGTGAGAGATATAAGAGTTCAACATGATCAGCAAGTTCCTCTTTGTGCAGAAGAAGAGCCCAGACACAGTAAATGATAAATCTCTGCGTACCCAGTTAACACAGGTGAGAGCTGGAGGTCCCCCATGTGGTAGACCAGTAGTCTCCTGGTCTTAACCCCTTGCTTCTTAAACAGCAGGTAATATTCCTCTCCCCATATTAAAAGAACAAATAAAGTGGATCCTAAGCTCTGTAAACAACTGAGTGGTTCTCGTACATCATTCAATCAGCCTATCCACCCATCAGCAATGCTATTAAGCACTCCATCAGGACAGCCACTGTGGAAGGCTCTGAGGAATAAGTGGTATGGGGTGAAAATAGAGTCAGCAGAAGAAAAGGCACAATGGCTGGAGAGAGGACAATGGGTCTGGGAACTCACTGTTGGATTTTATTATTGGTTTGTAGGTTTAGAAAAGGACCCTGTAGGTGGAGAAGTGCCTGAATCTGTACTCAAGGAGCAGATTTGAATTTTATCCTGAGACCAATGGGAAGCATTGGAGGGCTTTACCTAGTAGAAGAAATGGCCAAGTTTCATGTAATGAACTTGTCTTTTGGAGGAACTCCAGAATTTAATATAACACAGTATATCTTTCATTATGCAATAATTATATTATTTTTTAAATTAGTCTGTCAAATATTTGCAATTCAAATTATGCTACCATTGAAAAGTTACAGTTTCATGGTTCCTTTTACTTCCATTTTCCAAATTCCTCAGCTGGAATATGTAACATTACAACTTTATATTTACTAGCATAGTAAATAGATAGCAGTAAAGACTTATAGAATTGAATTTAACTGAAGATTTCTTCTCAAACAAATATTAATTAATGCAATTAATTAATGAGAAGTTTTTCACTTAAGGAAATTTGAAAGTTGAGGAATTCATTTGATGGGTAGAGCTTGATCAATGAGTATGAAATCAACAGAGAGAAGAGAGAAATTCTGGGAAGCTGTTGCCCAGACAGTGACTATAGACAATAACACATTGTGTATTTTGAAGAACCTAGAAAAAATTATCTTGCATGTTTTTGCAAAGAAATGATAAACATTTATAAAGACAGACAGCTTACTTTGATTTTAACATTACACAACATATATGTATATGAACATATTACATTTTGCTATATGTGATCTTTATGTGTCAATTAATAGTAATAGAGAATATACTTGTAATGCAGATAATAACATTTCCCCTTGTCTTTGAAGTATGAATTTTAAGATTATAATGAAGCGGACAAGTCTCCCTCTCTGTTTTATCTGTATCAGGCTTTCTTAGGCAGTCTTCTGATTCTCTCCAGCAGCCCTTTTGTACTAAGTATCTGACAGTATGACTTCTATCACCCGTATTTCTCCCAATGATTTTCAGAATCCTTCTCCACACCTCTTTGGCACACTTCCTTGATTCCAAAATATATGTGTTTTAGCTTTTAATGTTACTGGAGTCAAAATGACTCCTATGGTAGATATATCCATTTATTCCAACAGCTATGTTATCTGCCCAAAAAGCTGTTATTAAATGAATGGAACCTGCTGGAATTGAGGGTGACTTGTAATAGAGCAGGACACGATTACTATGTAACAGACACAGACCCGCTTACTACGGCGGCCACAAGGTGCAGTCTGCTTGCTATGTGGAGATCACAGTCCAGCGTCTGTTTGCGAGGACCGTCTTGGACACGAACTCATGTTCTTCCCTCTGCTGTCTCCATTCACTCCGTCTCTGTCTCATCTCACTCTGCCTCTATCTAAACAGGGCTGGCAACAGGAAACGAAGTAGGACGACGCTCTGCCCTTGAGTGGCAGGACATTGCAGTGTACCCTCTAGCCCAGTTACCACTTCAGCCTCCACTCTGATGACAGGACAAGGGAGTCGAGAAAATCTCCTTTTACCAACCTTTTGTGACAATGTGAAGATCAGTGATATAGATAGATAGATAGATAGATAGATAGATAGATAGATAGATGTGTGTGTGTGTGTGTGCGTGTGTGTGCGTGTGTGTGATCACCACTGCACATTAAGATATGAATCTTTGGGGCCCACAACATGTAATTCATAGCATTTAGGGTTCCTTATCACACCCCACTTATAGAAGAGCTAATCAAAGATTTTCCTTGGCGTTCACAGCAGGATCCACCAGCCAAGAAAGAGCCCAGGATACATCTGTAGGGACCAGCAGGAAAGTGAATTTGCAGGTAGAACTTCCCCACCTCCCATTTCTCACTGACCTAAGCAACTTCTTGAGGGGAAGTGGAAGAAGACACAGGAATACCCTGACTCAACACAGACAAATCGGAACTGAACAGAAGCTAGTAAGTTGCAGAGGAAAATCAATAATAATCTAGAAAGCCAAAGGGAAAAAAATTAAGGACGCATGGTTCAAGTTGCAAATCTAGGCCTCCTAAAGTTCCCCGGGTGAACCCTGAGACCCTAGGAGGACGTTTATAGTCATCATTCACGGCTGAGAAGGGCATTGTGGGCTCTGCTGGCTGGAATGAGCTGTCTGTATAAGAGCTGGAGAGGAATGATGAGAGGGAGACAGGAAAGCAGAGGCTCGGAAGGAAATAAAACTTTCACGCGGTTAGGATTCACAGGTTAGAACTCCATCAGGCAACAGCAGGAGAGACAAAGGCATAGGGGAGTTCACGCAGCCCCTTCCTTTTTTTGTTCAGATGCTTGCTTTTTAACCCCATAGTCAATATTCAGCTACATCCTTCTGGATCATTTTCTCTTCATCAGGCCTTTTCCCCTAAAAACACATAGATCTAAAAAGGAAAGAAGAGCGTGGACGATGATGAAATAGGCAGGAAGAACGTACTCAGAAGCCAGTCTGAGAGTCACGCCCCCAGCGCATCGGTTGTCTGATCGGATATAAATGAGCTAAGGGTCTTCGCAGTCTCTAAGTCAGTCATTTTCAGACTTCTCCCTCTTCCCCCATAAAACCAGCAAAACGACTTTTAGATTTTGCTCCCTGTAAGCTAGTGTTCAACCATCAACATGTCCATTTCTTAAAATGCCTCTGGGAGGAGGTGATCAAGGAACTGGCTGAGCAACCAGGATTAATTGCACCCTTTAGAAATGGAGCCTTTGCAAGGAGCCTCTGCTGTATTTCAAGGTACCTGATCCTCGCAGAAATACTGTGTCCCTAAGGCAATCCTTCCTGAGGCTATGAGGTAAACACAGTAAATTGTAAGAGGTAGGAGAAGTAGAAGAATGTAGAAAATACATCAGTCCCTCTCGCCAGCCACTGTGTGGATTGACTAACCAAGCG